CTACTTCTGCGTAACAATACTCATTTTTCATTTACACATTATTATTTATAGCCAAATACATTTTTCTACTTCTAGCAGAGGTTTATTTATGGTAGAATATCTAACGTGTCGCGTCATCAATCATGTCCCGAGAACGAGCGAGATGTATCTCGTAAGAGAGCAAGCGTAAACGCGCGCGCAAAGTGCGCGATCCGATTCAGGAAAGCGCGTATTTTATTTCACCGAGACCAGATGGTATGAGAAAGTCGCATCTCTCTGGGGCATGTCTGAATTTTTCTGAGAGACGCGTGCGACCCCGATTCGTTCTTTAATGTCGACTTTTCGAAAGATGAAAACCGGATTTGTATTCAAATCCAGATGGAAAGAGAAATTCCGTCTCTACAACTTATTATGATAAGCGTAAAATTATATTTGCATAGAAAATTGCGTAACGTGATATACTCGGCTTTTGCTTTTATTAGCAAAAGTAGGAACAACTTTATTATACTTCACAATAAATGCTATAGTAAAATATTTTATATATAAATATGCTCATATATAAATAGTTTTTAAATTAAGCGTATGCTATCTAAATTTATTTATTGCATTTAGACATATGTTATTCAAATTCTTATATTTAAAAAATGTTAACAATATACATACATCTTATTTATAATTATATATCTATTAAGTACAAAAATCAACAAGATTTATACAGTAATTTAGTTTAGATAGTAAGTATAAGGCTCAGATGATTTTACTCATAACTTCTAGATATTAAAATAGTTGCTTATTTAATCGATTTATATAATATTGTATCAAAATTTTATGAGAACATAGCAAATGTCACAATGAATTACTAATATAGTGATTCCTTGCCAAAATAGAAATATAAAATTAAACTTATAATATCATGAATTATTTAATACTTCTACATTACGGTACTGAACTTCTTGGATAATTGACAATGCTTTCTGCAGTATTTCGTTGTGCACAGCCGATTCATTTGATCCGCGTTTACAATGATCCAAGTATTGTCCCGTAATTTCTCGTAATTAGCATCGACACGTTGCTGAAATTCGTCATGCTCGAATCTTTCCTTGCCCCAATCGCTGCGCTGTTCTTGCTGTCGCTTGGACACCTTGAGTAACACTACGCAATCTGGTTTTGGAAGACCCATGTCAGGTTGTTGGCACCAGTTGAGACTTCTGCCAGTGTTGGCTGCTGTATATACAGCACCAGAGGCTGCATATCTGTCCATTACTATAGTAACACCAGACAAAAGGGTTTCTCAATGTCCTCTTTACATTCCCATCGATTCGCAGAGAACAACAAGTGAGCTGCTTCTGGTGGTAAATTTACCTCTTTTGACAGGAAATTATTTAAGATAGATCCAATAGGAGTTTTTCTATCTGTAAAAATAAAAGAAATATTATTTTAACCCAATTATTGCATGTAAGTTATTATTTCACATCACTTTATATTTATTCACAGCAACAATGTAATTGAAAAAAAAATGTATTACGATGCTGACGTCATATAAAGATGATAATAAAATCACATTTTAACGTGTGAAATATTATTCGACAATATTTTCATAAATTGTTAAATTAATAAGCGAAAACATCTTTTCCCGCGCAAAATAACCTAAACATAACCTTGCTGGATAATTTGACGAGGATTTTCTTGTATGTAACTTACTAGGAAAACCGCCGGATTTCACAGGAATTGTTGATCGTTTAAAGCGTTCATCAACTCTTCGCTTGGGTCCTTTCCCGGCCCGATCGCAACCTTCCAAAATTATCAACGCACCGCGTATTACTGTCCATGCGATCAGCCTCACGCCGCTAGGATGGGCGATGTTCTTCGATTAATCGGAGATGTCGATTTTTTAATCCAAATAATCGATTATATTTTATCGATTTTTTTGTCGGTCGATTAATCGATTTTCGATTTTTATGAGGCAATATCGAAATAATTATACCTATCTTTCCTACATGAGTGCGTTCGAAAATTGATTTTGTTGGTGTTGGGAAAAAAGATAAAGTTGGTAGTATTGAAAATTAATTGGGAGAAAAAAACGCAGCACTGGTAATTTTCAATACTGCCAACTTTATCTTTTTTCCCAACACCAACATTCCAACATAACATAACATTTCTTAACATCTTAATCTTGCTGCACGAAGGAAACAAAAAAATGCGTCATGTGTCGTGTGTGACGGGAGATATATTTCGATTTTGTCTCAAAATTGAAAATTGCTGAACTTTTTTCGTATTTAATGCGAGTCAGCGATGGATGTCATAAACGGTAAGTACTAACTATTAAATTTATATTTTTTCGATTAAGTATATCACATAACCTCCAACATCTATAATCTATAATTTTGTTTGATTTCCGATGATGATAACGTGATGATAATTTCTTTAATTGTATACATATTTCGTATTTATTTAAGGAAAGACATATCTCCGGGAGGGGATCAATGTGTATTAGATTATTATTTTATTCTTATCATATACCCTATATGTATTCTTTTAATTTTAGATAACGATAAGGCATTCGAAGAAGCATTTCACAATCTGTATGGAAGTGAAATCGAAATCAGTAATGACGACGAAGAAATCGATACACAAACACTGTTTCAATCTATTGATGATCTGGATTGGTGAGTGTAAAAATTGTTGACGATTTATGGCCTTGTTCAATTTATTTAATTTAATATCTGCTTTTTTATAGTACATTGATCGAGAATACAGAAGATGATTCTCGAGATTCTCAAGTAGTACTAGTGATAGCCCAAGAGCTCCAAGAGGAGATCACGCCAACTGAAGCCTCATCAAAGGTTCAGGCGTAACAAAGATTATCACGCCAACTGAAGCTTCACCAAAAAGTTTAGGCGTAACAAAGATTAAATCTGAGTAAGTTGTTTTTAGTATTCTTTGCAAATTTTTACCTTTTTTAGGGGTCATTCTGAAAGATTGTCTTAATCTTAACTATTATTTAATATTTAATAGGTCAAAACAACCAAGTGCAGCGTGGCAATATTTTGAAAAAGAAACTAATGTTACAGCCCGTTGTAACATTTGCAATAAGGTGTATAAACATGGCGGGAACACAACAAACTTGTTTCAGCACCTTAGTGCAAGCCATGCATTGTTTTGCCCCCAAGCTAATAGACTGAAGCGAAAAGTTCATGTGACTTCTGGATCTAGTGACGATTCTACTGATGATCCTCCACAGTCGAAACGAGGAAAATTCAAATCACAGGTAAAAAAAATATGTAAATAACAAGTAAAACATAAAATAAATATAAATATATAAATGACAAGTATATAAAGTAATAAAAAGTATATAAATAACAAGTAAAAAATAAAAAAGTATAATAACAAGTAAATAAACAATTATAGTAAATAGAAAAATGACTGATTCATAAATTTAATAAAACAACAAATACTTTTGATTACAGGGAAAGTTAATTAGAATCGACGAAGCATTTGAGCGTACGAAATCATTTTTAGGTATGTATGCCATAAAAAAATCTTTATTTAATTTTTGATTATTTGACAAAGGACTTGTGATTTTATTTTAACAGAAGGAGGCAAGACGTCTGACAAAATTACAAATGCCATTTTGTATATGATCGCGGTCGATAAAATGCCATTATCTACAGTGCACAACGAAGGCTTTAAATTACTCATGAAAACAGTAGCACCTCTCTACACTGTGCCGAGCAGAAAAACCATGACAAGATTGATAGACGTCCGATATGATGTATTGAAAGAGCGCTTTATAGCCACTCTCAAAAACTTGATTCTTATTGCATAACATGTGACAATTGGACAGATGTCGGCAACCAAAGTTATCTAGGCGTCACTATCCACTATGTAACTCCACAAATCGAAATGAAGAGTGGATGCGTTGGAGTTTTTCCGATGAGTGAAAACCACACATCACAGTACCTCGGAGAGTGTTTAACTTCAGTTATAAAGGACTTCAATTTGGAGCAATCGAGAATTACGGCAGTCGTTACGGATAGTGCGGCCAACATCAAAAAAGCTGTACGCGACTTCGTGGGACAGGACAAACATTTGGCCTGCTTTGCGCATACTCTATCTCATCTCGTACCAGACGTACTAGTCGCTATGCCCACTGTGCGGGAAACGATTGCAAAAGTGAGGGCTATCGTAACAATTACAAGAAGAAGCGTCGTGGCTTGCGATGAATTAAAGAAGCTGCAAATACGAGACGGAAAAACGGAAGGAACCACGTTAAAATTTATTCAAGATGTTCCTACACGTTGGAACTCGACGCTCTACATGCTAGAAAGATTTCTTACTCTCGAGGAATATGTTTATCCGGTTATGTCGAAGTGTCCGACTGCACCAGATATGTTAAAACGAGAAGAAATGCAAATGTTGAAAGATGTTATATCCCTCATGAAACCAGTCGAACGTGTCATCACTGAAGTCAGTGGAGACTCCTATCCAACATGTAGCGTTATTATCCCGTTAGTTCGCTGCCTGAAAGTGGCTGTTCGAGAATATAAGCCTTCAACAAAATATGGACACGAGTTTAAAGAAAAACTTGAAGCAACGATTAATAGACGATTTAAAGATTTTGAGTTGCATAAAATACTAGCCATTTCAAATATACTGGATCCGAGATTCAAAAAACTCCACTTTGAAAGCGCTCTGGCTGCTTCTTCTGCAATATCGCGAATTAATGATTACATTAAAAGGGATACTGTACAAAAAATGTATGAAAAAGTACCCATTGAAACGACAGCAAAAAACGATCTCTGGAGTTTTCATGACCACTTGGTTGCGACTAAAGCTGACTACGGTGCTCACAGCGAAGACGTTAGTTTTGAAATAAGACAATATTTCAGCCAACCAGTCATCCCGCGCTATGAAAATCCTCTCAAGTATTGGTCATCAATGAAACTCGCATTCCGTCATTGTACAAATTGGCAATAAAATACGTCAGTATTATTGGCACGTCGGTGCCATCCGAACGGCTGTTTCTCAAGCTGGCGACATCAAAACCGACAATCGAAACAGACTATCCGGTGAGCACTTAAACAAACTGTTGTTTCTCGGTTCGCTTGCACGAAAGGATTGGGGTTTAGAGTGACAACAAAACTGTTATACTCCTGCAACTGTATTACTGTATTCCTCTTTGTGACTGTTTTGTTTTTTTACTAGATAAGGCATGATATTTTTTTAAAGTAAACGGTGACAGTTCCTATTTTCTATCTAACATTTCCTATTTCTGTCATTTAATTTCAGTTTTTTATTCGAAAGTTTATTCCAATGTAAAATAACTGTTAAGTATATAATGTGTTGTAACTTAATGCAATTGAGTGTTTTGCTATTCTTGTGACCTTTTATTCATTTATTTAAAACAAATGAGTTAAATGAATTATATGTATATATATATATAAATTTTTAGGTAGAAGAACTTTGGGCACAAGGCACAACTGGAATGTATTAATAAAAAACAAAAAATAACAAGATATTATAAAATTCAATAAAAAAATAATAACCCTAATTATCAATAATTTTTTATTCGATTAATCGATTTGTCGATTTTTCAAATAGAAAATCGATTTTCAAAATCGATTCTTTTTTCAAAAATCGATGTTATTAAAATCGATTTTATTTTGAATATCGCCCATCCCTAGTGCCGACCGTTCATTGACGCCGAGGTATGAATTACTTTGTCAATGGTTCGGTGATTTAAACACAAGTCTGCATGCTACGTCCATTAGCGGAAAGAATGAAGATTAATCCGATAAAATTTCGTGCGTGATCCGCGTGCACAAAATTTTCTATTTTTTAATTTATATATGACAATAAATTGTAAGTGAAGTTTTTTATGGATAAAATTTATAATTTTTATTACACTAAACAATTTTAAACAAGAGCCATTCCTCGATTTTCTATTAATTTTTTGATACTTTGAACTTATCAAAAATACATACTGTTATATATTTCAATAATACAAAAAATTGAGAAAATACATGATATAAAAGTAAGTATAGAAGAGAGATTCCTATGATTAGGAAAAGTTAATTATCGTCGCTAATTTGGAACCCGCTCTGCATTTTTATTAGATTCAGCCAATTAAAGCGATAATTCTTTTTTCCAAATTTTAAGTTGCGATTTACATATCGTTATATGTACGATACGTTTTTTCAAAATTTTTATAATCAAATTGAGGATCAATAGATATTGATGTT